CTCTAGCAATAATATTTAATCCGCAATTTGGCTAAACTATAGTCAAGGCAGTGGGAAAACAGAGAGTATAAATTAAAGCCCATTTATTGCATGATCAGTGAGTAATAACATTTTTTTGAAGGAACAGTAGTCAATGGTTAGTTGCCATTGCTTGCAGTGCTAACGATAATACAATAGTATTTTCCAGAATTTTTCAGCACACATTAGCAATTAGATGCTAATTGATTTCCAAAATCAATAATTGCAACTCTATTTAACTGTGATAACTACGGAACATAAAGTACTTCGTTATTTTTCCTTCATTTACAAATTAATATATAGATATATATATCAGCAATGAAATAGGAAAAAGATATTGTTTTTTTCCTTCTATTTAAAGGGAAATAATATCATGAAAGAAATTTCTTTGCAAAAGTAGATGGAATAATTTTATTTGAGGTAAATTTAAAAAGTCCTCTCTTTTCTGGCTCCTTTACAATAAAAGACTCCTGAAGCTTGCGTGCCAGATTTATATAAAATAGATAAACCATATAATTGCTGCGGCTTTATTAATAAAAACAATTTATCCAATAAATGAAAACAAGTTGGTTTTTAAAAATAATATTAAACTGACGCTTACCTTTCATTAAACTAGAAGGAATGGAAACGCCGCTTCATAACTTAGGAAACAATACAATCTATTTAATTTAAAACGATTTATCAGCTACTTGTACTGATAAGGGTGATTCGTTTTATGTTTATAGTGCAGAAGCATTGAGGAAAACAATTATTGGCTTTAATTTAATTTAAAGGGTAAAAGAAGTGGATATAAGATTTTTTGGAATATAAACATCTTATCGTTCCTCCCTAATTGGAGAACCAGTTTCTCTAATGGGCTCTCCAGACAAAGAATAAACTGCCTTGAAAACTAAAACATCTGACTCACAGCGGTTTGAATACTCCACATTAGTGAAGAAGGCACGGATAAATCGGTCATTTGAGAAACCAAGTCTGTCCTATTTTGTGCTTAGCGGAATATATGTCAAAATGAAAATTTAAGTAAATTCAAATCATAATTTCTGAACAAAAGAGTCATTTGCCCAATTATCCTGGAGTGTAATCAACCAAAAAGTTCATCTCAGGAATTCGGTGAGGACAAATAACCTTGAAAAAGCGGTGATGAAAACTTTTCGTTCTATGAAAGAAAGACAAATTCACTGTCTCAAGATGTATATCTTACATTTTCAAATTCGACTCCAGAATTGGTGGCTGAATTTCTGTCCTCAATATCCAGTGCATATTGAGTAGTTGCCTGATTAAAATAGTTGATCTGGTAAATCGATCTCACATTTTATCTTTAAAAGACCCCAAAATGTGGGATAAACTTAGAGAAATCGCATTGGTTATGCAAACACATGAGAATATTGGACTCACACATAATGAAAATGTGTAATGAATGTCAAAATATACCCCCCCTTTTTTGAAATAAAATGCGTGCTTTGATGAAAAAAGAAAGAAAATAAAAATTGGCTGTTAAGTTTGTCGCTACTAAAATAAAATATAAATGCTACATCATGAGTGCAATTTCAAAATAATTGTAAAATTAAACAGAAGATAATTACTTATAGCTTAATTTAAGAAATAAGCCTAGCTAACAAAGTATTTAAAAGTTGTTAAAATTTTTGGAAAAATAAATCCTGAAATGTTGGGTGGGTGGGGGGGGAGGGGGGG